ACTCTGAAAATGAGAATATTTAGTTGCTTTATGGTGCCCATGTGTCACAAAGGCTTTGCTCATTCTTTTTTATTCTTCTTTATTTTTGTCTGATTGGATGACTTGAAAGACCTATCTTCAAGTTCTGAGATTCTTTCTTCTGTTTGATTTAGTCTGTTGTTGAAGCTTTCAAATGTATTTTGTATTTCACTCAGTGAATTCTTCAGCTCCAGAATTTCTTTTTTTTATGCTGTCTCTTATAAAATGAGAATTTTATAAATTTCTCATTTATATTCTAGGAATTACTTTTCTGATTTCTTTATGTAATTTTTAAGTATTCTCTTGTATCTCACTGAGCTTCTTTAAAATCGATATTTTAAATTGTTTTAACAGGATTTTGTGAATTTTTTTAATTGAGATTTGTTGCTAGAGGGTTTTGTATTCTTTTGGAGGTTTGATATTTTCTTGCTGTGATGTTAGTGGCTGGGTGGGTGGGCCCAATCTCAGGTTCCTGGGAAGAGTGCTTAGTTGCCGATGGTGGTAGACTGAGCTGTGTGATCTCTAGGCCTCTGGATTGTGTGCTCTGGCATGGGGGTGGGCAAGGCCAGGTAGGCTTGTCTTTAGGGTCTCCAGTGGTGCGTGTAGGTGCTGGCTGTGTTTGGAAGAGGTGGAGTAATTCTTAGGCCACAGACACAGTGTTCATGTTGTGGGAGGCAGTGTCTGTGCTGCAGCCTTACTGCTGGGGAGGGCAGAGTAGCTTTCAGTGATTGATACCAGCTGTATGCAGGCAAGTATTAGGAATGTGCATTTCACTTGCATTTTAGCTCTGGTAGTGGCGGTCCATACTTGGCTTGTATTTCAGCCCTGGCAGTGCAGCCTGTGTTTCACTCACACTTTAGTCCTGATGGTGGCAGCTCATGCTTGGCTCATGCTTTAGCCCAGGCAGTGGAAGCTCATGCTTTGCTTGATCCTTAGCCCCAGGAACACAGTGATGGCAGCTCTGGGTGAGGGATTCTGGGCACATGAAAATGAGTGGTGGCTCCACTGCTAGAGGCAGTGGGTGGGGTTGGAGCCAGTGGGTAGGGTTGTAGCCAGTGGCTTGCACCTTGGCCACAGCATCAGGAACCAGGCATGGTGGCAGCTGTGGGCTGGATATGTCAGTGGGATTCTAGGCATGTGAAGAGGCAGGTGCTGTTGAGCCCAAGGGCAAGATGTAGTCTGTTGGGACTGGATTCTCAAAATGGTGTCCTACTATAGATGCTTAGGACTGGGGTGGGGAGCAGGGAGCTTAGTGTGCCCCAGCGTGAGCTCCCTCTCTGGAGTGGTGCTGTTATGCAGTCTCCATGCAGCTCCTTATGTTAGTTTCAGGGCCTACGAGGGTCCAGGGCCTCTACTGTGGCTAGGATTGCAGGTGGCCATGGTGGAAATGTGGACCCCTGGGCATCTCTCATTTATCCTTTCCTCAGATTGGGAAGTCTCTGCAGGCCCTTAGCTGATCTCAGATAAGCAGGCTGCCTCACTTCTCTCACTTTCCTTGATTTAGGTGTTTCCTGTCATCTCTTTGTTGAATTCCTTAATGTTTTATAATTTAAAAACTTTCTGAATTTATGACTTTGAATATATGGTAAAAAAATTTAAGTTCAGAATGGTTAAATAGTTCATTTTCTCTCATCCTTTTTCAGTCAGCAGTTGTTGGTTAACAAGTATAGTCCACTGACCATCATAAACTACTTGAGGACAAGGATTTTCTTTTATTTATGTCTGTATTCCTGTATTCAACAAAGTCTTCTAGCAAATTAAAGGCACTTAGAAAATATCCATGGAGTACTCTGAATATGGGCAAGTGCTCTTCTTTCCTGATAAGAAGTGTGCTTGACTTGATGGTCTGTATATTTTTTTGTCTCTCAAAGCCCTTTTACTATAAGTAGATTATTCAGTAAATATGGTATAGCAGTCACTCAATAAATATTGGTTGTTTAATCAGTTTTTAAAAGTGTATTGTTTTAAAATTAACCTGTGTCTTGAGAATGGCTTTTATTTATCTCCTTTTTCTAGCTGAAAAATTTTATACTTACTTTGTGACAAATTGGAAAAGATAAGGAGAATGTTTGTGTCAACTGCAGTAAAAATATCAGTTAAACTCAGTTTTAAGTATCAGCTTCTCTTTATTTACTTTTCAGACTAAGGCATAAATCTTATGGAAATAAAATTAAATCAGGATTTATTTTAAAAAATTTTCAGGATATGTTGTTGTATTAGTAGACAGTCTTTATTGTGTATTAGCAGCCACATTATGGGTAGCCTTTTCTATTTCAGAAGAAAGATGGGACTGTGAGCAAAGAAGAATCTACAACTCACACAGAGATGCTCAGTGCCCATAAATCTTCTGGAAAGTCCCCATATTATTGTAACAGACCCTACATTAAGAATTGTTAAAATGAATTTGGACAAGAATCATTTTTGCCTTTCAGATCACAACTTTCAGAGACTTTGGTAATTTACTTCTAAGCATCTGAGGTTGACTCATTACTATGCCCTGCTTTCTAGAATTCTTTTGTGTGAATGAAGCTGTGCAGAGGCAGACAGTATAATCGTAAAAATAGAATAACATTTTAATTTAGAGTGCTTGGTGGTTGATTGCTAACCACTCGAATATGTATCTTCTTCCTTTCCTTTTTCCTTGCTCTCCCTTGTTTCTTTCTAAATCACAATTACAGAGCCTGGCACCTTACCAGGGTTTTGAAGGGTCTGCTCCCAGCTGCGCTTCAGGTTCTGGCAGGGTGTCAAGTTGTGACATTTTTTTTTTATACACAAGACATCCTGGATGGCTATCCGAAGGTTGTTTGGGTGACTAGTGTAGGATTATCTCTGGATTTTGAAGAAATTAATTTCTAATGTTTTGTTTCTTAGTAAAGTAAATGCCTGATGTAGGTCCTCCCTAGACTTTTAATGTTTTTAAAAAACAGCATTTACTTTGAGGGCATGTAGTATTTAAAGCATTGTTTTGAAATGTTCAAAGGCATAGCATGTGCTTTTAATGGAATGTGTTTTGGAAGCTTTCCGTGAGCATCAGCAGCTGTGCCTTTTGAATATTTTGAATTACCATACTTTGGGGCAGACATTGTACCACTCACTGCTTAAAAAATACAGTCTCTATGAAGAATAAAAGGTCATATGGAGGTCCATAGAGCTGGGACCAGTAAAAAGAAGTTGTAGAAAGGACACATGGATGTAAGTATGTATTTGTAATGTTTGCAAAGAGAAGATGAAGAATTTCGGAAAAGGTTGTACTAGTCTTTTAAAAACTGCTTTTCACTGAGACTAGCCCAACAAGTGCTCACTGATTAACAGGCTAATCAAGACAATGTTTTACTTTTTTTCCCTTTTTACTGTTTGAACTATGTACTTTATTTTTGAAAATTTTTGGCCAGGTGCAGTGGCCGATGCCAGTAATCCCAGCACTTTGGGTTGCAGAGGTAGGGGTATCACGAGGTCAGGAGATCAAGACCATCCTGGCTAACACAGCGAAACCTTTACTCTACTAAAAAAAAAATACAAAAAATTAGCCAGGTGTGGTAGCCTGCACCTATAGTCCCAGCTACTTGGGAGGCTGAGGCAGGAGAATTGCTTGAACCTGGGAGGCGGAGGTTGCAGTGAGCAAAGATTCGTTCCACTGCACTCCAGCCTGGGTGATAGAGTGAGAATCTGTCTCGAAAAAAAAATTTCGATATGAATTTATGTATTTAGTCAACTCTGCACAGTGGATGTTTTATTTTGTATTTCAAGCATCTCATACTTGTTTAACTGTCTTACAAGCAATTGATAGCTATGTATTGACTGGTTGAAGTTAGAGAACTCTAACCATGGTAGGAATTTAAAATTGTGTTAGAAATTTTGAGTTTGATAAACTTTATTATGAGTAAATATTAATACAAGAGAAAGCCATTGTATAAGTTACTGGTGACTTCTGTAACAAATTACCGTATAATAGGTGGCTTGAAACAACAAAAACTCATTATTTCAAAGTTTTAGAGATTAGAAGTCAGAAATCAATTTGCTGGCAGAGCCACATTCCCTATGAAGGCTCTAGGACAGAATCCTTTCCTTGCCTTTTCCAGCTTCTTACGCTGTAGGCTTTCCTTGGCTTATGGCTACATCTTTCCAAGTCTCTGTCTCCATGGTCACATTGCCTCTTCCTCTTCACATCAGAACTCCCTTTTCTGTCTTAGAGGATACATGTGACTGTGTTTTGCGCCCACTCATATAATCTGGCATAAGCCTCTCCTCTTAAGATTCTTAATTTGATCACTGCCCCCCCTTTACGATATAAGGTAATATTCATACCATCAAGAGATTAGGAAATGACATATTTTGAGGGGCTAGCATTCAGTCCACTATTGTTTGGAAGACTTTCTGAATTTGGAGGAGAAAACTGAATCAAGGCTAAAGTAGCATTAGAATGATGAACACAGTATTTGTTCATTTAATATTTTGGAGCTCTTAATATGTGCTTGTGGTTATTTAGGTGCTGGAGTTATGAAGATGAGTTAAGACATGTTTCTTGTCATGGACGAAGTGACATTCCATGTGTTATGTATACTACAATGCAAGATAAAACACAGAATAATTAACTATATAAGTTTGGGAGGGTCTTTACATGGAGGAAGTAATACATTTCCTGAGTTGGGTTTTGAAGGCTGTACAAAGAGATGGAAAAAGCCTTCTGAGCAAGAAAATTAGGATTTACAAAGACATGGAGGTAGAAAACAGCAGTGTGTGCTCAGGAAACTAATGGTAATTAGTGGAGTGAGACAAATTTTAGATTCGTTTTCATTTCTCCCATCCAAGTACTAACCAGGCCTGACCCTGCTTAGCTTCCGAGATCAGACGAGATCAGGCACATTCAGGGGATTTGTTTTCATTTCTATTATACACATTAGCTATTAATATCCCCCATTTTGCCAGCTACAAAGTAAATATTCTTTGCTGTGTTGGTTCTTAAAGCAAAAATCTTTTCATAGATTAAGAAGATCTGTGAACAGCCATTAACTACATGAAAAAGTGCTTCAGGAAAACATAAAACCACAAGGAGATACCACTTTACACCTCCCAGAATGGCTGCAATTAAAAAGACTCAACACCACATTATTACCCACACAACAGGTGGGTTTGGTTCCTTGGTGGGTATCAACTCAGTGCTCACAGCCAAAGAGGATTTACCATGAGGATTTTATTACTTGCAACAAGCAAGGAGAACATGGGGATAGTTCCCAAAGCAGGGGCCCGAGTCAGGCTTTATCAGCGTAGAATAACAAGGCGTGATCTGATTGGATCTTACAATGACATGATGCTGGAGGAATGATCTGACTGGATCCTATCATGGGATGATGCCTGAGCTTGGTCTGATTGGAGCCTGGATCTTGCCATGCAGTGTCGACTTCTTAATTTACTCCCCATTCCTTGGTCCAAGCACTTGGATTCATCCTAAGATTGCAGTCTTGGCTCATCTGGGCATGCTCAGGTTATGTGAACTGAGGGTCCATGGCAGCTGTAAAATAACTCACTATTTGTTACATAAAAGTTGAACCAGTTTGGTCTGGTGCACATGGAGCAAACAGAATTCTCATATGTTGTTGGTTGGAACAGAAAATGGTATAACCATGTTGGAAAAAGATTTGGCAGTTTCTTACACAAAATTAAATATAAACCTGCTCCATGACTCAGCAATTCCTCTCTTCGATATTTACCACCACTCACCCCCCACTAAAAATGTGTCCACAGAAAGTTTTGTACAAGAATATTCATAGCAGCTGTATTCATTGTAACCAGAAAAAAACTCATGCTCATCTTCAGGAGAATGGATAAACAATATGTGGTATATTTAAACGATGAAATGCTACTCAGCCTTAAAAAGGAACAGGCTACTAAGATATACAAAAACATAGGTGAATCTCACAGCCATTTGGGTGAAACGAGGCCAATACATGAGAGTACGATTTCACTTTATTATGTTGTGAATCAGGTGGAACTATGGTGAGAATAACTACGAAAGTGGTTGCCTCTTATGGGTGAGGTGATTGGAAAGGAGCATGAAGGAACTTTGTGGAGTTATGGGATTGTTTTTTATCTTTATGAAATTGAGGCATTCTTTTTTGTGAATTTGTGAAATTGTATACATTCATGTGTTGCATGTAACCACATACACAACAGTGTTACCATAAGATTATAATGCAGCTAAAAATTTCTGTTGCCTAGTGATTTGTTATAGTTGCCTATAATATTGAGTACAGTAACGTGTAGCCTATAAGCAATAGGCTATACCGTATAGCTTATGTGTATAATACGCTATATCATCTAAGTATGTGTAAGTACATCAACGAAATCACTTAACAGTGTGTTTATCAGAGCATATCCTTGTTGTTAAGTGATGCATGGAGATAATATTCGTGCATTTCATGTAAATTTTACTTAAATAATTATAAACAAGCACATGAATAAAAGAGAACTAGAAAAAATTTTTAAAAATTAATATTATCTATCTATGTAGTAGCCTCACAACCATAAGGAGAATTAAACCAACAGGATTTGTTGAAAGAACAGCGAAAAGGACTAGCGTCCTTGACTTGATGCTGAGCCTAATTTTTGAATCACTCTCCCTTCTAAGTCTCTTTTTAAAAAATTGTGAATTATAAGGCAAGGTGCAGTGACTCATTTCTGTAACCTAAACATTTTAGCAGGCCAAAGTGGGAGGATCGCTTGAGCTTAGGAGTTCAAGCCCAGCCTAGGCAACATAGTGGGACCTTGTCTCTACAAAAAAATAACAAAACAAAAAACAAACAAGCAAAAAAACAGGCTTAGTGGCATGTACCTGTAGTCCCAGCTGCTAGGGAGACGGAGGTGACTTAAGCCTGGGAGATTGAGGCTGCAGTAAGCCGTGATCATGCCTTTGCACTCTAGCATGGGTGACAGAATGAGAATCTGTCTCAAAAAAAAAATTGTGAATTATACATATAGAAAAGTATGCAACATACAGCTGAGTGATTTACAAAGCAAGCTACAGAGTAAATTTCCATATATCCACAAGAATGAAGAAGTAGAACATTACTAGCCTCCTTAAGTAATATTTTCCTGACTTTAATGATAATTAGTCCCTTTCTTTATACATGCTTATACCTAAAAATATCTCCCCTATATACTATAGTGCTTGTTTTTAATTTTTAAACTTTATGTATTTGTAATAATTTATATTTTATGTTTGGCTTCTTCTGGACAACATGTCTGTAATAGTTACCCTATATATAGAGTATTTATAGCAGGGGTGTCCAATCTTTTGGCCTCTCTGGGCCACACTGGAAGAAGAATTATCTTGGGTCACACATAAAATACATTACCAGTAACGAAAGCTGATGAACTAAAAATACAAACAAACAAAAAGGAATTCACACACACACACACACACACACACACCCTCTCATAAGGTTTTAAGAAAATTTATGACTTTGTGTCGGGCCGCATTCAAAGCCATCATGGGCTACATACAGTCCATGGGCTACTGGTTGGACAAGCTTGATGTATAGCTTATTTTTATTGCAGTATAGTACTAGTTCCATTATACCACTATTCATTTCTCATACCACTATTCGTTTCAACTGTTGATGGTCATTGGATTTGTTTCTAGGTTTCAGTTGTTAGGAATAATGCTGCTATGAACAGTATCACATAAATCTTTTTGTGTACCTGTCTATACCACCTTTCAAGTGTATATATGGCAAGGAGAGGAATTACTGAGTCATACATAGTATATGTATTTTTTTTTTAACCTTAGTAGATAATGCCACTTTTTTTCCGAAGTGAATATTCCAGTTTACGCTACAAGCTGTTGCTTCCTCTCCTCTCCAGATTTATTGTCAGTCTTTTTGGTTTTCTTATTGAGATTTAAATGTTATGAATAATTTTTACAATTTGGTAATTAAAAAGACAGTTCAACAGAAAAAATTGGGCAAAAGATGTAAATGGACATTTTATAAAAGAAGATACCTAAATGGCCAGTAAACAAAGAAAAGGTGCTCGTTCTCATTATTTTTCTGGAAATCACCTTTTAGCTGTTAGACATAGTAGTTTTTCTGCCTTGAGTTATTAAAGATATTTTCCCATATCATAGCAACTTTGTGCTTCTGCTTTTCACATTTAGATTTTCAATCCAACTAGAATTAATTTTAGTGTATAATATAAAGAAAGGCCCAAGTTTTTTTTTTTTTTTTTTTTTTTTCCCCCTACACGGTGACCTGGTTGTCCCAGCAGCATTTATTGAAGACTCTCTTCTTACAGTTCAGCAACACCACCTTTGTTTTAAATTATCTCATATGGGTGGGTCAGTTTATGGGCTGTATCCTGTTTTACTGGTCTCTTTGTCTATAATTAAGCCAATGGCATACCATACCATCTTAATTATTGTATATTTATAGTAAGTATATAGTAGATAAAGTCTTCCCGTTTTGTTCTTTAAAATCATTTTCACTGGTCTTTTGTATTTCCATATAAAGTTTTGAATCGGCATGTTGAGTTTCTCACACATAGACACACACTCATTTGGATATTAATTGATACTGCATCATCTATAGATTGGGGAGAATTTATCTCTTTAGAATGCTTTCTAATCCCTACACCTGGTCCATATCTCTATTAGGTCTTTTTTAGTTTTTTTCAATAGTTAGCCACAGTTTTCCATATAATAGTTTGTACATCTTTTTACCGAGGTTATATATTTTTTATGTTATCATTAAGAATGTCTTTAAAAATACTTTGTTATTTTTAAAAGAATATCACTATTAAAAAAATAAAAAATAAATTTGTTGCTGGCATAGAGAATGCAATTGATTTTTGTATATTGTTCTATCTACCAGTCTTGCTAACTTGCTTTTTCTAATTATTTTTCTCTAAATTTTTTTAGATATTCTACATACACAATCAGAACATCTATATATAAAGAAAGATTTATTTTTTCCTCTTTAGTTTGTATACCTTCTATTCCTTTGTTTTGTTCCAGTTCTTCAATACAATGTTGAATAGAAGTGGCAATAATGGACTTTCTGGTTTGGTCACATTCTCAAAAAAAGACATTTTAAGATTTAAAACCATGTATGGTATTTTAATGTACTATTTTTATGTACACTTTTGATGAGATTGATGTGCTTTTAAGTTTCTAGTTTTCTAGGTTTATTTTTCTCCTTTTTTATTTAGGTGAAATTAATATAGCATAACATTAAGTATTTTAAAGTATATAATTTAGTGGCATTTACTACATTCACAACATTGCATAACAACCACCACTATCTAGTTCCAAAACATATTACCACATCAAATAAAACCTTGTACCCATTAAACAGTCAATTCCCATTACCCCATTCCCTTAGCTCCTAGTAATCATCAGTCTGCTTTCTATGTATTTATTCTAGATATTTCATATAAATGGAATCATACTCTGAGAACAGGAATGTTAGGTATTTTATTTCTGACAGTCCCTGAGCTGTTTCTTATTTATTTTATGTGTCTATTTTCTGTCTATTTTTCAGGCCAGGTAATTTCTGTTGTTCTGTCTTCCAGTGCATTAATTCTTTTCTCACTTTTTCTCTTCCTATTTCTGCTGATGAGCTCATCTACTATTTTTATTTTTATTTATTTATTTTTTTTTTTGAGACAGAGTTTCAGCCTGTCACCCAGGCTGGAGTACAGTGGCACAATCTTGGCTCACTGCAGCCTCTGCCTCCCAGATTCAGGCAGTTCTCCTGCGTCAGCCTCCTGAATAGCTGCACTATAGGCACATGCTACCATGCCTGGCTAATTTTTGTGTTTTTAGTAGAGATGGGGTTTCACTATGTTGGCCAGGCTGATCTCGAACTCCTGGCCTAAAGTGATCCACCTGCCTTGGCCTCTCAAAGTGCTAGGATTACAGGTATGAGCCACCAGGTCCAGCCTGTATTTTTCAGTTTTAAAATTTCCACTTGGCTCTTCTTTTTACTTTCTCTTCTGAGACTTCTATTTCTTTGCTGTGACCCTCTTTTGGTTTATTTCAAGCTCGTTTGTGATTGTTTCTTTAAACATTTTTATCATTATTGCCTTAAAGTCTGTCAGATAACCATAGGATCTCTGTCATCGTAGTGTTG